TTAAAACCAAGGGTCTTCATGAGGCCCCAAAATGCACAGTATATCCTGGGGAAGTGAAAGGGAAGGGAGAATCTTAAGATGGCCGAAGATATTGTTAATAGTGTGTCAGGATTTAAAACTCACATTACTCGCACCACTCTGCTTAGATAGATTTGATTCTGTCCCAGTTTGTCTACTTTCATTAGATTTGAGGGCACAGATAGCTCTCCCCAAAATAACAGGATATAGTACAGTAATCATCCTTAATTTCCTATTAACTTAATCTGGAGCCCTGTAAAACTTATAATGTTTTACAATAACTGATCTTAGTTAAATCTGATTTGTTTGATTGCTATTTGGTATCGACAGATTTTATTCAAAACTATTATGGTTGATAGTATCAAGTCTGAGAGTATAGGCAACTACACTGAAGTTGACAAGATTCACTATGATACTCATTCTGGTTTGATTATGAGCAGTTTTTGAAGTTTTACACTATCTACAAATTTTTGTCTTTATTCATATTATTATGTACTGCTATATACAATTATACTATGTCTGATGATATAGACAATTCTATTGAAGATAACAAGAGACAACACAGTAACCATTGTAGAACATCTTGTACAGTGGTTGTATATGATTTTTTCATTTCATGTGTTTATAGGAATATGTTTTGTTTTGTCTTGCTTTGTTTTGTTTCTCCCTCTAATATAGAAAGGATAGAAATATATTTTGAGACTCATGCATGCATACAGCCTATAAACAGTTTACAGAACTGATCTTATGACACATGATGAAATGAACAGATACTTTGAAGAAAAAAAGAAACTAAATTATCCAGTGCTGATCCTGGAGGGTCATGATGTGAAATTCAGCAAGACTATTATTCTTTGTAGAGTGATTTCAGCCTGCTTTGGTTTGTTTAATCTTAACATAAATAAAGGCATGGATAACTGCATGCATGTTTAAGTGTACAGGATTGATAACCATATTACTAAGTTTTGGTTGGATAGTTGAACAGAACTGTTTGCAGTCTCGCTGTTTGAATGCCCACTTTGTATGCTTCACTTTTGTAACTTGAACAACTATTTGTAAGAGGACAATATGTATCAACTAGTGATTTTTTTACTGTTTATTTTTTCATTGAAAGTATGTATTATTTCTACCCCTTTTCTGCTTTGTTTAGTCTTTCTTTAAATAAAATTTAAAAAAAAGAAAACATCTATAAGCTATTTTAGAGAATTTGGAATTAAAGTTTAGACAGTAGGAAGTTTCTGATGGTTATAAATAAAAGAAATTAATGGAATGTGTGTTAGAAAGATGAATTGGAAGCAAGATGGGAATAGGAAAGGACTTTCATAGGAGATAGGTCAACAAGATCAGTTAAGCAGCTAACTCAATTCTTTATTTAAAACATGTGCATTGAGAAACAGCTACATGTTGCCCTGAGTGCTTTGGATATGCCAGTGCCCAAACAGGGAATCTCATTCATGTGAGGCCTAGTTTCCAGGAGCTGGTACAAAGTAAACAGTAAACTCAATATGTAATGGGATCTATCCAAAAAGTAATAAGCAAGAAACATTGAGTGACAGGGAGGGAAGTTGGGGGAAAGGAAAGAGGGGTGTACTTTTAGGCCATTTAAAAATGTATTTCAGTGAGAAGTTGAAGTTGGCATTTCATGAATACTAGAGCAAGTTGGATAGGTTTATGATTTTAGGAGTCATTTTTAAGAAATTGAAATTAGTTTTTATTTTGAGTATAGAGGGATGCTATGAGAGAGAATTTTGAATAGAAAGGTTATAGAACTAGCTTTGGGTTAAAAAGAACATTTGATTACCTTTGAGAATGAATTGTGTATATTGGTGAATGGAAGAGTAGCAACCAAGAATATGAAACGACAGTTAGAAAGTCAGTCCTTGCATAATCCAGGTGAACAGAGCTAACAGTCAAGTTAGCTCTGACCAGTATGGTAGCAATGGGAGTTGGCTGAAGCAGGTACATTTTGAATATTTTGATACTAATATTCACAGAAGTTACTGGGGGATATGCTAAGGTATATAAAAGAAGATGAGTTAAGAATATCTTCGATGTTTTGAATCTGAGTTCCTGAAGAGATGAAGATGCCAGGAAGGCAGTTAGTGAAGGTTGTAAATGGGGTAAAGCTGGAGGGAAAGACAGATTGGGCTACACAGGAAAATGCAGATGAAGACAAAGTGGTTGGATGTACGTGTATGGAAAACAGAGAGAGGTCAGGCATGAAGACCTGACCATGGAGGCATCAGCACACAGATGATCTAAAGTCATGTGAGCAAATGAATAGAGCCAGAGGAAATAACAGGCTGCCATTTTGAGCACTTTGGTATTAGTAGATTAGGCAGAAGAGATGGAAATAGAACAGACAGAACAAATTTGAAGTGAAGTAGAATATCTGATGGTTTATCAGATTGGAATTGAAGTTGGTATCTCAAAAACCTATAAAGAAAGCTAATCAATGGAGGAAAGAATTGTCAAAAATGTGCTGTCGATAGCAAAATTTGAGACTGAGAACTGATCTCTTGGCTTACCCGATAGAAGACACTGGAAATATTGACAAGGTCAATTTTGGTCCTCTGGTAAGAGTTTTCAAGATTGGAATGGGTTTTACAGAGAATAAATAAAAAGGAATTGAAGACAGTAAATACAGATAATTCTTACATTTTTCTAAAGTATAAAGAAGTAGAAAGAAATGTGGCAAAATTGGCACCAAATGAAGGTGTCGTGGGTCCCCCCACCCCCAGGAGAGAGAAAGAACACACCTTTGTATTCTAATGGATGATGATAGGAGGAAATTGCTCCATGATGTTTCTGGATAGGCAAGGAGGATGACATTTAGCATACGTGTATGGAGCTCTTTTCTGGATAAGATGATGTATCATCTGTGTTAACAAATGGGAACTTAAATTATTTGAGTATAAAAACTGGCATTGAGTAGATCTGGTAGAGGGTAAAAGATAACAGGGACAGCATAAAGAGATGACAGAAACAATTAGGTAAATGTGGCAACCTTACATTGCATTTACTCATGATCTGGCACTGTTGAATTGACTTCTAATAACCATTTAATATACAAAATAGTTCTGCTGTATGTACCATTATAATTTCTGTTTTAGAGATTAGGAGACTGAGAGAAAGAGGTGTTAACTATTTTGATCAATATGCCACAGCTAAGCACAGGCTAAGATTTGAACCAAAGCACTAAAATGCAAGTAGAACTTCCGGGTGAGAAGCATTTCATACATAGGCTTGCCAAGACTCAAGGAATAGTGGGAGTACTCTCCCTGCCATAAACAAAGATTTTTTTTTTTTTTTTTTTTGGTGAATCATGAGAAGGTAACTTGGCTTTTTCTTCCATATATGATTAATTAACTGAAATACTTTGTTCAGGGAGTTCCTTAACATCAACCAGGTGATAACAAAAGACAGTATTTAAATTAGGGGTGAGTCATTTCAAGATCTCATTCTTTTCTTAAGAAAGCAGATAATTTGTGATAAAATTATTTCATGACAAGTTGTATGCTATGATATTTCTAAAAGTTTTGATATATATTATTTTTAAACAAGATTAAATTTTATTGCAAATGTCTACACTTGTTGTGTAAAATATGGGAATAATAGATAAAAAGTTTAAAATCATGTCTGTGCCATTGGGTCATCACTAAAGATAAATCACTATTAGCGCATCAATTTTAGCTGTGAGTTTGTGTTTTATATTTCCAATTTGTGAATACCAAATGTACACCCATATAGTAGTATAGTTTAAAGCTTTAAAATCTCTCATATATAATTTAAACAAATGTATTATATGTATTAAACACATTGGATAACACAAATATATTAATTTCAATTTAGTTTCTATTATAAATTAAAATACTAAAGCTTTCCTTTCTTGACAGTGCTTATGACATGTATCTTATTTCTTTTATATCAATCTAAACTAATTTTATATAAATTAGCTATTTACTACTTCCAAAGACCCCAGAAGATTTAGAAATACAATAAAATAACCAGAAAATATGAGGCATTTTAAACATTTTCTATTGACAGTACTAGAACCTTTTAAAAATAGTGTGGAAGTTCTTAAAGCAAGCCACAAAGTGCTAACATACAGTGTTTTTATATAATTTTTAGTCGTTTGAAACCATTAACACCAGCTTAGTTGCTCAATTTTAAAACCCAAGGAGAAGAAACATTTGAATGTAATATTTACATGAAAGGCTAGTAATTTATTTAAACATCTTGCTTTCTATATTTTTAAAGTACAGATAAAATAAGCAAATCTTGCAAAAATGCAGTTTCATAGCAAAAATTACTGGGCTAGAACAAAGTGGTAACTTTTGGGTTTTAAATTTCTACAGGTAACTGACACATGAAATAAGAACATAGTAGTTTCACTTCTAAAGCAGTTTGTAACCAGTGCTATGTCCCTTTATTTATAAACTATGTTATAAATAATGCTGATAATGATAATAATAATGATAGAAATAGAAATCTGGGCAAGATAGTAATTATCCTGTAGTCACCTTGAGAACAAGAAAATATTTAAGAAATATTTTATTTTGTGAAATATAGGAATTTAAAAAGTCTTATACAAAACTCTGTGCCTTTTAAATAGAAGGACAGTTCTTAAGAACTAAAACATGATGTGGGTCAGTTTAAGAAATGTTACTTGTGAACCATAATATGTTGCAATAGATGTGGGATCTTAGTCTATTCTGATAGTAACCATAGCCTGCTTCTGTAAAGTTAATGATGGGGCAATAATGGACTCAACAAGAATTTTTACTGCAGCCACACCACTGTGGAGTAATTTTGTTGGAGAGCTGTTTCTCAAATTAGTAGAATATTTCAGATAAAGAAAGGAAGTCGCCTTAACTTGAAACTGCTGTGTCATTTCTTCTTCCTTAACTGAAATTCCAACCAGGGTTCAGGAAATGCCCTAATGAGCAACTTCTCTTTTCTTTTTCCCCAACTAAGTGGATTCCAACCAGCCCAACTATTCATTACACACGATCAGATCATTTGCTTTGCTTGCCTCATTGGACATGGTGCTTGTGCTATGGGAAGAGGGATTGTAATTTGGTGCTGTTTGTAGAGGTGATTGTACTGATAGAACCCAATTGTTGCTGGTAGGTAACTAAATGGCAAGTCAGTTCTCTGTACATTAAACAAAGTAAGAGGGCCATTCTAATCAATACCTGTTTTACTTGATACGTGTAGCTTGCTTATAATTTTGTCTTGTATGATAACTAAGTATCAGGATGTTAGAGTAGTCAAGCTGTGATTTGCTGTAATTTGGGTAAAATATAATGTAATCTCTATGAATGTCTTATTTTAATCAAGATAGAAATCGCTGTTTTTAGTTCATGACAACCAAAGGAATTTCATCTTGCAGTTTAATATTCTCAGATATTTACTAAATTGGAACATGATTTAATATTTTATTGCCTCATGTTATTTTATGAGTAAATGTTAATTTCTATTTACATTCTAGCAATATCTATTTTATTAGCTTTTAGAGGTAAGAAAATATAAGCTCTGCTCATAGAGGAAAGGACACCAGACAGTATATTCAGCATGTGTATTTTTCCTTCCTGGGTTAATAGCTTATTCTTGCTTTTTATGCAGATGTAAATCTAAACAGTTTATTTAGGAGATTTCAAGTATTCTAATATAATTAGCATTTAAAAATAATAATTTCAATTATAATAACTTGAAAAATTATAAGAGGGACTTAAATTTTATTTATATAATTCTGTTTATATACAGTATACATATATTTATTTGTATGAATTATTACTGCATAGTTTCAATATTATCTCAGAATGTTTCATTAGAAGAAGCCATGTTGAGAAAAATAAGAAACATGACATAAGCTTTAATTCATCTTGAACAGTTTATTAGTAACTTATTTACTGGAAACTTCATTGAGTATTGAGACTTTAAAATAACTTTAATGGTTTTTCCTGTTCGGAAATTGTGTCAACAAAGCAAAGTGAAACAGAACAAGGAGTTGATTGCTAAGGTTATTCAGATAATTCTGCTTAATTTTTACTGTAGAAACTGAGTGTAGCTATACTGTTTCAAGTAACTTTGAATTAATACCGTCATAATTTGTTGGGGAAGGCTACCTACAATACTCTAAACTTTATGGTTTATATTTTGGGAATTAGAAAAGAAACATTTGTGTAATTCCAAAGTAAATACAACACATGCAATCTTCATCCTATTCATTACATTGGTTTTATTATTATTATTTTGTGTTTCAGTTTTATTCTAAAGAAATAGAATAGTGCAGTGTGAGTACATTTTGTTGAAGTGAAACTTGGAGTTGATGTAAAAAAATGAAACATATTTCGCAAAGTCAGCTTAATTTTAATGACTTATGTGCGAGTTGTATGTAGATACTCCAAATAATTACAAACTGTTTGAAGATAAAGAAAAACTTTCAGCATAAGTAACCTTTCCATTAATCACACTGATTAGCATGGTAAAAGTAGAAAATAACTTTTAAAACTGGTTTGGATAATAAGAAAGGAGAAATAAGAAAAGAAAGTCAAAGAAATGTGAGGTTCTTACACAATAATTTCAAATAAGCTACCAAAATATGGTTCAAATAGAATCATGTTGGATATTGATAAAATAATAAACATTGTATACATGTGGAAATGCAATCAATCTTTTATGCATTGTATAAATAAAACTATACAGATTCATCATGAAAATAATCTCTTATTGTGTAAAGAAATGGATTTCTTGATGTATAAGAAATAGAGTGGCAGAAGATACAGAGAGGTAATATTTACAAATAGCAGGTTGATATTTTTGACTACTCAGCAACAAACCCAACCAAACAGAATGTAGCTATGGGTTCCTTCCTGTATTCCTGGTGATGTTTACTAAAGTCAAAGAGAAGAACTTATGAGGCACCGAGGAGTAGAAATGACAAACACCTACAGGAACATAACCTGTGAAGACAGAGGTTACCATTAGTTTTACAGGGAAGGAAGAGAGAGAAAGAGAGAGAGAGAGAGAGAGAGAGAGAGAGAGAGAGAGAGAGAGAGACAAAACTAATAAGCAAAATGTAATCCTTACTTTACAGAGCTGTGAAGTACCAGGCAATTGAGGGAGCTGTGGAGTTGAGTTGTGGCTATTTGGAGATAAAGCAAAATTTGGCAGCCATTTACTTTGCAAGTGTAACGGATGACAGAGTTTGTGTTTTCCATTAAATTGGATTCATTGAAACATGGAAAGCCTTCGCTACTTCCTAACAAAAATGAGGCAGTTCATGTTAAAACTGGGGAGTAAATGTGAGTGGAAAAGCGAAATACTATAATAGATTATGGATTCTTTTCATGTTAAAGGAAGGCTGGTCAAGGGGAGAAAGCCTTTGTTTCTATATTCAGTTGAGGTTGAGTTGGGTTGCATTTTTCTCTTATTTTTCAGGTTTGAAAGAATAAGTAAGAGTTTGATCTGAAAATGTCTTATTGGACCTCTTTTTGAAGGCACAAATGAGCCATAGTAGGACATTAACCTGGGAATAGAAGCGGACTTTTAGTAATGTTTTTCCTGCCTCTTCCTTCTGTTCTTTTTTAAGAGTTGCCATGGAAAATTATTTTCAAATTTATTCTTCATTCTTTGTCTCTGTCTCTCTCCCCTCTTCGCCAGCTTGCCTGTTGAAGCAAAGAAAGTTCTATCCTTGTGTTCATTTCACTTTCTAGTTCTTCCTTATACAAACATTCTCCAAATGCAGAAAATTGTACATTTATGAATAAATTAAGTTTCAAATGATATTTGTCTTCTTTAGACACATTCTTACCAAATAAGAATGTAAACCATGAGTTTCTGTAACTAGATATTTGGTTCTATCCCCCATGCTTACTTCTAATACACTTTGCTGATACTCATTGTATCAAAATTATTTCATCAGTCAACCAAATCTAGACTGGTATTGACTACATTGGGTTTCTGACTTTAGGCAGGTGACACTGGTGTCTATCTTGAATTTCTAGGTAGCTAAGATGTTTACCCTCCCTGATCCCTCTGAACCTGTGTAAATTCAAGAACATTTAAACTACTGAACTATCTAAGGTTTACAACAAAAATTTTGTTGTCAGAATCTTCACAATGACACTAAATTTTGGTAGAATTCTACTTTTCTCCTTATTCTTAAGAGGTATCTGATCTTTTAATCAAACTCTCAAATATCTTTTCCATTTAGCTAACAACTTTTTCTCTTCAGTAGCTACGATTCTTTTGCATTTGCAAGAAAATTTTCACACAAAGGATGATTTGATTTTTTTCTATCTAAATTGCATCTGCCATTAAATTTTTTTCCTGTAAGCATGTTCAATCTTATAAAATTTTTCTCATTTTTTAAAAATATAAAGTATTTATTGTTTTAGTAAGATGTTTGCAACTCTAGCCATTTGGAAGACAGATTGGATGGTGAAAAACTTTATTTGCACTGCAGATAGAGCAAATACGAATTTGTGAGGTATCGCTGTGTAACACCTTGCAACTAGATGAACTTTTGAAATGAACAGAGGGAAAGAGCTTTGCTGAAAATACTACTGCCTCTATTTCATGAGAGATTTGAAGGTAATATACAGAAACATATTTCGATGTAGAGATAATCATTTAGCTGAATGTATCTAGAGATGTTTCTGTATCCTCTATTCTGTCCATTGATCCACCGATTTATTTTGTTCCAGTACCATGCCATTTTTTTTTTTTGTACCAGGGTTCAAATGCATGACCCTGTTATAAGGCAAAGCAATAGCGATTTAAAAAAAATGGTATCCCCAGAGATTTAGCACCTCCTTGCAAACGTGGGGTCTGTAACTGCTGCTAAATCCTATTTTTAAAAAATCGCTATTGCTTTGCCCTATAGCTTGAAATCAGATATAGCAAGGCCTTCTGTTTTGCTCTTGTTGCCCCGAATTGCTTTTTCTATTTATCTTAGTTACTTTTAACTCATTGCTGAGACACAATACCTGAAGCCCAAAGTTGGGAAAGGAAAGGTTTATTTCTTACAGTTTTTGGAGGTTTTAGTCCACATTCAGTTGGCTCCAAGGCAGGCTGGCATGGCTGAACTACAGTTCATGGCGGCTGCAAACAGCAAGCCGGAACCAGCAAAGAGAAAAACATACCTTTTTCCTTCCATTACATCACATCCTGGCTCCACCCCTACGTGGAGGGTGGACTGACACCAATCCAAGCACTAGACAATGAATGAATAACAAATGTACAATTCAAACTCATGAAGTCTGCGGGACACAGACATAAACCATGACACTATTCTAGGTCTCTTCTGGTTCTATATGAATTTTAGGATATTTTTTCTAGTTCTATAAAGTAAGCTGTTGGTATTTTGATTGGAATTTCATTGAATTTGTATAACAGTTTTGGGAATATGATTATTTTGATAATATTGGACATATTTCCATTTTCTGATGTATTTTTCAACATCCATTTTCAGATTACTGTAGTTTTCTTAGTAAAGGTCCTTTACTTCCTTGCTCAGGTTAAGTCCTAGGTATTTCATTTTTCTTGAAGCTACTGTGAAGTGTTACTGTTTTCATAATTTTTTTCTCATCAAGTTCATTATTGGTGTACACAAATGCAAATGACTTCTGTCTGTTGATCTTTTACTCTGCTATGTTGCTGAAGTTGGTTATTAATTCAAAGATTTTTTTTGGTGGAATTCTTTGGATCTTCTGTTTAGAGTATCATGTCATCAGCAAATAATGATGCTTTGAGTTCTTTCTTTCATATATGTGTCCCTTTTATTTCTTTCTCCTGCCTGATTGCTCTGGCTAATGTTTCAAGTCCTGTGTTGAATATTAGTGATGACTGTGGACATCCTTGTCTTGTTACTGATTTAAGGTGGAAGGCTTTTAGTTTTTTACTATTTAGTGTGATTCTGGCTGTTGGTTTATCATAAATGGCTTTTATCATAGTTATTTATAGATCTTCTCTACCTGTTTTCTTCAGGGTTTTTATTATTAGGGAGTTTTGGATTTTGACAAAAGTGTTTTGTATATCTATTAATACGATCATGTTTTTGACCTTGTTTCTGTTTATATAATGCATTACGTTTATTTATGTATGTTGAGTCATTCTTGTA